CCCCCAAAAAAAAAAAAAAAAAAATGAGTACATGCCAAGATTTGTGCAGAGCAAACTGTCACTATGGTCATTATTGGGAAATATTTAGAATACAGTCTTATCTGGGAAGGTAGCATGGCATTTGAACTTACAAACTTAGTTATTTTGATAATGAACATTTTTTTTATTATCCCAAAACTAGAATTATTAGTTTGTTTTTAACCTATTTCTGTCAGGTTTTTGTTAGATCTAATGCTAATGAGAAGCAAATAATGTAACAACTATGTTTTATGGTTAATAGGGACTCAGATACTGATGTTTTTCATTATTTTCATTCAAGTAAGTGCCCCTTATTTTTATAGAAGTGAGGCAGGTAGTGTGTGATTTAATTTGATATAGGGAACCATGTTTAATATCTTCTTAACTGAGTTTCATTTATGAGGTGGAGCAGTGATATAACCATAATCTGGTGATGATTTTAAATTGCCTACATCCTTTTTCATTAAGTAAGAACAATGAATGGGAATATTTCACCAAGTCTAAAGAAAATCTATTAAAACAAAACAATGACCTTCTTGTACTTTGTTTCAGTATTAGATGATTTTTTTTAAAGAGATTTTTGCTATAGGGCGGGTGCACTCACCAGAGAGACAGAAAGTGAGAGATCACCCCCCAGGAGAGTGGCCATGCTGCAATTTCTTCTCCTCTATTCTCCTGTTGAGACTTTGGCATGTGAGCACATGCGCCCCATGTGAGTTTCAAACTGCCATGTCCAGGTGTGAATTTCAAGTGGCTAAGTCCAGGACTTGAACCACAGACCACATGAGAGTCCAGAGCTTACCCACTATACCGGCTACTAATCCCTCATTATCAGATTTTTTTTAAAAAAACTTTTGCCACAGGACACATATGCTTGCTGGAAAGAGAGAGAGAGAGAGAGAAAGTGAGAAAGCACCACCCCTCCACCTATGGAAGATGGACACACCGCAGTTCCTTCTCCTCCATTTCTCCCTCCTTTCAGAATTTTGGGCACACGGACACAGGCCCTGCGTGTTTTCCCAGCTGTCTTAACACCATGCCATGGACTGGTCCTTGATTGTTTTTATTTGCTATAATACATCCATTTAGAAAACTGGTCTAAAATATTCTCTTTTTCAATTAGTTTTAATGCTTATTTTGTGAACATTTATTTAAATGATTAAATTATTTTACATTGTTTTACACGTCATTTTGACCTTACTTTCTAAATCATAGAATGCATTATTTACAAATGCCACCAAAGCAAGCCGTGGAACTAATTTGCTACCATAGTGACTAGGTTTCCTTATTCTTCAAATGACCACATTCATAGAAAATTTGTAGCATGTCTTTAGAAAATAACTATTATCAATAAAATTCACTGTTTGAAGCATCTTGCAGTCAAAGATCACCCTGCCAAAGAGTAATTATTATTTAAATAAAGGATGAGATACTATTTCAGAAAAGCCCTGTTTATTTGCCTGTGGTGAACATGGATAAAATATGTGAAATTATTATTTTCATTAGCAATGTGATCTAAATTTTTACAAAAATAGTAGTGTACATTATATTACTAAAAACTTCTTTAGGGGGACACATTTTTATGACTTCAGGGTCTATTATGTAAAATTGCTCTTTAGTTCTTTTTTTTTTCATTCCTTCTCAAGAATTTCATCACCTTGGAATATAGTGGGAGGTGAAAGACTGGATCAATTTGAAATATGCTTAAAGAAATAATAACATTTGACTGGTCATATGTTTACATGATCACATGTTTAGGAATTTACTAAAATCTCTGGTTTCAAAAAATATTTATTCGAAATATGTTTCTTAAAGCTGTTGAAAGAAGGCTATGTATGTCTTGTGGCATTGAATAAATTAATTTAATGATGACTTGGGGAAGGAAGTTGAATTGAATTGACAGTTTGAAGTGTGACTAGGCAGCCATCTTTTTTTTAAGGATACATACTCTTCCTTTCACTTTGTAACTTCAGTGGCTAGAAACCATGGTGATCTTCTTCATTTCCTGTATTCATTTCCTAGCATCCCTCCCTCCCCCCACAGTGAGAAACTCCTTACTGTTATTCTCATCTCATTTTTTTTTTTAATCTTAGATGAGTGGATACTTTGAAATTTTGTTTCTTCATATTATATCTCTGAAGATAGTTCTTAACACCCTTCTTTAATCTTGTCTTATTTCCCAGGGTCCTATCTTCCCTGCATTCAGGCGTGTGTATCATATTTAGGTAGGTGACAGCCAAGATTCATCTTTTCAGACAAACACTTCAGTCACCTCAGCAACATACTTATTCACTTCTGTTTATCCAAAAGATTATATTCTCTATTATTAAAAATCCTAGACACTGCATCTTTACATCTTCACATATTCTAACTTCCCATTCATTCTTAGTTTCTTATACCTGGCAACTTTCTTTTCATTCAAACTCCATTTTCCTTTCTTTGTTAATGGGATATATTAAATCTCTTATTTTTTGTCTTTTAAATAAGTGTGGATTTTGAAAACTACAAGATGTTCTCTAATCCTATTTTTACTTAAGGTTTTCTTTGCTAATGCATACCACTGCCCAGTTCATCAAAAGAGTATTATGTTGGGACCAGCACTTAGTGTAATGGCTATGTCGCTGGACTCCCATGTAGTCGACTATGGTTCGCATCCCGGCCCCCGTGGCTTAAAACTCATGCCAGGCGCGTGTGCGTGCATGCCCAAGATCCCAAGAGGAGAATGGAGGAGACGGGATTGCGGCGTGGCCATCCCCCCAGGGGATGATTTCTCGCTTTCTATCTCTCTCTCTCTCTGTCTGTCTGGCGAGTGCACGCACCCTATAGCAAAAACCTCTCAAAAAAAAAAAAAAAAAAAGAGAGTTTTATGTTAAAATTCCTTATGTCTTGGTACCAGCAGATGGCATAAAGGTTGCATCATTGGAATTCCACATGGCTGACCTCAGTTTGAGTCCCAGACCCATAGACTTGAAACTCACACTGGGCACATGTGTGTGCATGTCTAAAATCCTGAGAGGAGAATGGAAGAGAAGGGATTGCAGCATGGCCACACACACACACACACACACACACACACACCCTCCCTGGGGGTGATTTCTTGCTTTCTGTCTCTCTGTCTCTCTGGCAAGTACACTTGCCCTAGAGCAAAAATACTCTCAAAAAAAAAATTCCTATGTCTTATTATCTATTCTTCTAAAGAAGAGTCAGTCATTATCACCTTAGGATCCAATAAGAATAAAGAATTCACAATGCAGTTTGGAACTACTTCTGAATGATTTTTATTTTTTTAAACCATTTCTATTATTTCATTCTTGAACCAACTTGTTAACGTCAAATATACCAGATTACTTTTCCAGATTTCCTAATGAAAGGCCCCGTGCCGTAAGAAAAAACCCCCCCAAAAAAAAAAAAAAAAAAATGAGTACATGCCAAGATTTGTGCAGAGCAAACTGTCACTATGGTCATTATTGGGAAATATTTAGAATACAGTCTTATCTGGGAAGGTAGCATGGCATTTGAACTTACAAACTTAGTTATTTTGATAATGAACATTTTTTTTATTATCCCAAAACTAGAATTATTAGTTTGTTTTTAACCTATTTCTGTCAGGTTTTTGTTAGATCTAATGCTAATGAGAAGCAAATAATGTAACAACTATGTTTTATGGTTAATAGGGACTCAGATACTGATGTTTTTCATTATTTTCATTCAAGTAAGAGCCCCTTATTTTTATAGAAGTGAGGCAGGTAGTGTGTGATTTAATTTGATATAGGGAACCATGTTTAATATCTTCTTAACTGAGTTTCATTTATGAGGTGGAGCAGTGATATAACCATAATCTGGTGATGATTTTAAATTGCCTACATCCT